ACTAGCAACCGGGTTCCTACTTACTGCTAGGTAAACAGAAGCATGTGGAGTAAGGAAACATTTTGCTCTGCTGGGAAACGAATCATGGTCTCTCGCTTGCAAAGCGAGTGCTCTAACCACTGAGCTACAGGACTCCACATACTTGTAGATTAGCACTGGTTCACGCATGCATACCCAAAATAAAAATGAAAAGCTTCCCTAAGTATTCGCCTGCAAAATATACAGTGAAACCACTTTACAGTATATCATGTGAAGCACTTGGAGATGTCTTAACAATGTGATAAGATGCTATATCAAATACAAGCCTTATTGTTGTTATGTAGCCCAAACTCCCAGAAAGCCATAGGAAGTATCCAATGTGTGTCCCATTAGATCAATTTCATCGCTTATCTGAGAGAGTTTAAAATTCACTGCTGTATTTTAGTGGAATCTTAGAAAAGGCAGAGTTCAAATTGTTCTGGATTTCATCAAATCATTCCATTCACTAGTGCAACTTCTACCTTTGCTGAACAAATCTTTCATTAAAAAATTTTCTCCAATTTTCTCCCCCTGTCCCTCTCCCTGCAGTTTTGAAGTTGACAAAGCCACAATCCCAAAGGAATGGCACTCACCATCCACTAACCCACTGTCTGGTATTCACTGTCTCAAGTACTCTTCAAATGTGAGACTTTAAGAGTGACTGTGAATGGGCTATCTGACTGAGGAGGACATCGAAACTCAGTTCAATTCACATTTGGCTTTTATTTGATAACCATTCACAAACATATACCGTCCAGTGAAAAGGGGTGAGAGAATCTTGTCCACCTTTTTCCTTTTCTTAGTCTGCAAACAATGAAGCCAATTGTCCTCCTACCAGTTGCTTTGTTATTGGCTTATCAAAGATCAGGGACCAAACTTGAGCTCTTCCTGGACTCAGTGCATTTAACCACATCATGAGGATTATATTCATTCTCAGTAAGAATAGCAATTTTGTTCACTTATGATGTTGGAATGATAGCTTACTAAAACAACTTCCTGACCTAAACAAGGCTTCTTCTCACTCTTCAGCCAGCTCACAATTTGCTTTTCAAATTGTTTATTTCTGAGGCATTGTCATAGCTGATGTGGTGCTGTAACCTTGCTGTGCAACATTTGAAATACTAAGCTTCTGCATTTCTTGTCACTGTGCAAAAAAACACATCTGCTTGGGGTCTAAATTTCTGGTTGGGCTACCTTTCCAGGTTTGGGAATAATTGAAAATTGAGATTATCGTAGAATTATACAGCACTGAAGGAGGCCATTCGACCCACTGTGTCTGTGCCGGACAACTCCATGTTTTGGCACTGAACCTCTGTACAGTCACCTACAATAAGTATTTGTATGGTGTTGTAAGCAAGATATATTTTGAACATATTGAAGAATATGAACAATGTACAAAATATAATGGAAAATATTCATTTTGATAAGCATTGCTTATGGAAGATAAACAAGGTATTTGGGTGCTTAAACTTCATTGGAAAAATAAAGCACATTTTTGTGTGTTTGATCCAAGTTGAAATATAATTGGGATATCTGTGTTTAATTAATGAAATATTGCAAGTGGGGTATTCTTAAATTGTGGGTAAAAATTCCATTTAGAGTTAACTGCATTGCTTTTGGTAATGTCGTCCACTAAAAGAATTTTAAAAAGATTTTTGAAAGGGGGTATTAAATAAATGAATAATTTGTTCACTCAATCCATGATGGTTGTGGGGCATTGCTGTGCGCAATTGGCTGCCACGTTTCGTCCAGAAAATATCTTGGGTCAATTCACTGTACAGTATATTCTGTGAAGCACTTTGAGACGTCTCGAAGACATGGTAAAGTGCTATATCAAATACAAGGATTATTATTATTATTTGCCATTATAATTATTCATTGCTTTTGATCTGTGCATTACACTGAATGGAACTTTAGATGAATGGGACTTTGACTTTCAGCATTCTGAAAAAGGAGGCCTGTTATACAATAGAAAAATACAAAGGAAGTACATCAGACACGTGTGAGATCTAATGACTGTACATAGACAGATAAAATAAACTACACTTTAATTCAGTTTGAAGATGGTACATGCATCTAGGAGTCTATTCAGCCCTTTTATGAACCTGCCACCTCCAAAGTACACTGCTCTCTTGGTTGACCTTACTATCATTTTATAATCAAAAAATACATTTCAAAAGGCACAATACATTCACCATAACTTTTTCAAAACAGATTATTGTTAAAATATGGAAGACTGGAGACATTTGATATGCACTATTCAAAGCAATCTTCAATAATAAAGATCTCCATTTAAACAAAAAAAATTAATATCACGTAAGCTACGATCACATGTAGTTGATCAGATGAGAGAATGGAGAATGCTACAGATTTCAGAGTGGGATATGGTACACGCTTTAAATGTGTGGCATCTAGAGGAAATTCATGTCACTCACAGACGCATGTTTTCGTTATGCCTCACTAACATGTGGCACTCCATTTACACCAGGTTAATTGTTCCAACAGATGTCAACTCAGGCAGAGAAACTCCTTTATGAAGCAATGAGCCCAGTTCTAGTGAGCTTCTGGTATTCAATGGAGTGTGGATATCTGACAGACGGACTGGGATTGGGGGGAGGGCATCTCTGGTTACTATATTCAGGAGAATTTCTGTGAAAATTAGTCAGAGAGAAACTTTGTCTCAATTTACTAAGTAAGGGAAGAAATAATCATAAAGGGGCATCACATGGTGGCAAAGCCCCTGTGGGATTGCAAATGCACAATGCAGTGTGGTGAATTGTGTGAAGTCCACTGTGCCACTTGCACATGGTATCATTGAGAGGAAATCTACACTGTTTACTCTTCTCCTGCCGCAAACAGTAAAGCAGATTCGTCAAATCATTTTTCACGATGGCAGTATGTTTTTACCAAACGATTGGTAGAAATCTTTTATCAGTAAACCTATGTGTAGAGGAAAACACACAGTGCTTACGTTGGTTACCGAAGACACAGATGAAGCATTATTTTTCATTGCGAAACCTAAGCAAAGGGCCAAGATCCGGTGTGAAGGATGCTATAATGGTTAGGAATGGAGATTAGATCAATTGAGGTTTGGAAAGTTGCTTCCAAGCTTGAGTTCAAGGTATGCTGATCATACTGGTGGGGTGCTTCTGTCGTTAGTTACAGTAATGGGTCAATGACTCATAGTTCATGGTTGAAGGAAACTAGTTTGCATGTGATTTCAATAACAAAGTAGTCTTCACAACAAGGAAAAGTATTTTAGGGGAGCCATGCTAGGTGAAACTGTTTATTTGTGGAGTCCTGTAGCTCAGTGGATAAAGCACTCGCTTTGCAAGTGAGAGACCTGAGTTCAATTCCAGGCAGGGCGAAACCTTGGGCAAGTTTCCTTACTCCACACGCCTAATAATAATCCCTCCAAAACCAAAAACAATAATAAAATTGGTCATTTTCAATCTACAACTGTTTGTGGGACATTGCTGTGCGCAATTGGCTGCCGCGTTCGCCCACACATATACAGTCAATTCACTTTACTGTGTGTTCTGTGAAGCGCTTTGGGACGTCGTCCTGATGTGAAAAGCGCTATATCAAATGCAAGGATTATTATTATTATTATTATTTATCAGCCTATAGGACCATTTCATCTTAAAATGTACAATCGTGCAAAATTGGGGAATATTCTTAAATGTAATCTTATTTTGGAAGTCAGTCTTCCACAATTCTCAAAAGTGAACCGATTCCAAAATTAAAATTGAATTTTAGAAGTCTTCACAATTTTGCATGATTTTAATTTTAAATTTTAAGACAAGATAGTTTTAAGATTAAGACTAGATGAAATTTGGTGTTTAGAAAGACTAGTGTCTAGTTGTCAAATGTCACCAGCAGAAGCCTGAGAGCCTCCTTGGTCAGAGAGTGATGCAAAGTGCAAGCAAACCTGAGAGAAAGGAAAGAGAGAGAAGTGTTTAATCTTCTATTATCTTCTATAGGAATAAAACAACAATGTCTGTCTACGCTTCAAGAAGGATCTCAATAACCGATTGACGTAGAGGCATGATTTATACCTCATCGGAAAGGTCTTGCAACTGGGAGTGACATGGGCATATTTGTTTTTGTGTATCTCTTATTGTTCATGAGTTATTTTCAGTTTTGCATTTTTCACTGCAGTGACATCTGATGGCCGCTGAGTCAAAGTGGCGCTGTGGCATTGTGCATCATAGCGCACCTACTGAAGTTACACAACTGCAGTTGTACCTAGTGGCCGCGCCAGCTAACCATGGTACTGTGGCATCCTGCGTCACAGAGCACGTACATAACCAAGTGGCGGGAACAAAATAAAGAACACAGACAAAACTAAGTTGCAGCAACAACAACAAAATTACATTTTCAAAGCGCCGAGTCCTCCCACTCAGTCCTTCCAAAAGGAATCCTCCCAGGTGAGCGTAAAGATGAAATGTCTGTCTGTGTACCAATCTACATTCCATATTGGATCCTACAGGTACAGCTAGCAACTTATAATAATAAAAAAAATGTGCCAATTCCCACTCAACATTGCTCTTGACCACAAACACAGCGTTTCATGAAATGATTTGGCAGACAATGTATTTCACACATCCTGTCCCTCTCTCTCCACCCCCCTCCCCCCCCTCACCGCTTACTTTGCAAGTAAATGAAACACAAATAAATTCATTCTCTACTACTTCTGCTTAGAACAGCATTTGATCATTTAAAAAACTTCATTGACTTTTCTCTAAAACCAAAAATTCAGAAGGAAATAACATTGTTCCCAGTCAATTCTGCTGTTTACAGTCATGTTATTAAGCAGTTTTATAATGAATATGTAAATAAGGGGTAGTGAGTACACATGAAATCAGGAACATTAAATCTCTGAATAAAGACTCTGATTGCTCAGTATTACCACTCGGTCAGGAATAGTATCACAAGTCAATACAACGGGATAAGCATAATTGTAATTCAAACCTTATTTTATTTGGACTGAACTGATAGTTATGAAACTGACATTTTTAGAGTAGAAATTAAATTCTATGTACATGTGTTGAAATGTCGATAACAATTGAAAAGGAAGCTGGAATACTGAGCCATGTCAGTATCAGGCAAACATGGTTTATTCGATGGGGTTTGGCATATTAGTATGTCCTCTGAACAGTTTGTTACAAATCAGACAATTGCAATGTGATTCCTTGGAGTAATACTGACATCTTTGTGAAATCTCCTCTTGATCATCCCCCTAATGCTCACTTGGTTAACTAGTTCACAAGTTCACTGCAAAGTCCCAATGTTGGAATTAGAACTGATTTATCAGCTGAGATTTTTTTCATTTTTCTTTCAAATGTTGAGCCCTAAGAGAGACCCTCCTGCTTGTTGCACTTTGGCGAAGCAAAGGACAGATCCAAGCACGGGAGCACCAACAAATGGTAACTTGACCTAAATGGAGTGGATTGCCCTTAAATGTGCCTCTGATTAAGGCCCTCACCAAAGCCACACGTTGAGTCCAAGTACTTCTCCATCCTTGGACTTGGGATAGAATCTGCACTGGTCATCTGTGATGGCCCTTTTTGTGCCAAATAATGAATCCTTACATGCACGACTTCAGACTCCATGCAGATGCCTCTTGGGGAGAAAGCCTTGACAATGACATGCTTTCAGGCATAAAGAACTGACGTTGGTAATGCAAAGTATGGATCCATCCAGTTTAAACAATGTTCTTTCGGTCTGCTGAATTCTTCTTCCATCTACAGCCGGCTTACTGCATCAGTCAAACTTCAATGATATTAATGGCTGGTGTGTTATTTTGGAACTGAAAATAAAAAACATAACATTTAAATCAAACCACCAAAAGGAGCTAACAAATCACAGCTAATCATCATTATTTGTCAGTGAAATTATCTTGATCAAAATGTGCAGTAAGATATCAGCTAAACTTTAAGGGAATCCTGTGTTTGTGAGCCTCTGAGTGTATGGGTCACTCAATCTATGACTGTTTGTGGGACGCTGCTGCGCCAATTGGTTCCCGCTTTCCGCTCACAAAATATACAGTCACTACATTTCACAGTAGATTTTGTGTATCTATGTCTCTGTGCTACCATTTTCATTCTAACACCTTGCACAAAGTACAGATGATGAATGATTGAGAGGTGACACACTCAAATAATCTGATTCTGATCTGAACAAAGTAGGAAAAAGTAAATGTAATTTAAGTAGTTGGCCCAATTTGGTTTCCCAAACTTAAGATCAATAGTGCTCAGACTAGCACAGAATGGTTCAGTAATAACCTTTAATAGGCATAACCGACTCTTCAGTCTCTGGTAGCATCAACCTCCATGGTTGCACACTACAACTCACCAAGCCAGTTAGGAACCTAGATGTCTTGTTCGACCCTCAACTGTCTTTTCTTCCCCACATCCAAGCCATGACCCGCTCTGCCTTCCCTCACCTCCGTAACATCGCCTGACTACGCCACTACCTCACCCCTCAGGCCGCTGAAACTCTTGTTCATGCCTTCATCACCTCCAGGCTCGACTATGCAAATGCCCTGCTTGTCGGCCTTCCCAACTCCTCCCTCCACAGGCTGCAGATAATCCAGAACTCTGCAGCCCGTGTTCTCTCCCGCACCAAACTCCATGACCCCATCTCCCCCATTCTCGCCCGACTCCATTGGCTCCCTATCCTTCGGAGGATCCAGTTCAAGATCCTGGTCCTCACCTACAAAGCTCTCCATGGCTTTGTCCCACCCTACTTCTGTGAACTCCTAACCCCCTACCAACCCACCCGCTCCTTCCGCTCAGCCAGGTCCAGCCTGCTACATGTCCCCCGACCCACCCGCCCCACCATTTCCGGGAGAGCCTTCAGCCACTCTGCCCGCAAACTTTGGAATTCCATTCCCCAATCACTCTATCTCGCCCCCTCCTTAGCCTCCTTCAAGTCCTGCCTCAAAACCCTCCTCTTTGACCATGCCATCGGTCACCCCCCTTCCCCTCCCTTCCTTTCTCCCCCACTGACCCCAGCTCAGGTCTGAAATGCTGTACACTGTCCAGCGCCTTGGGACGTCCTCCCGACGTGAAAGGCGCTATACAAATGTAATCTTGTTGTTGTTCAATACACTCGGGTAGTTCCTGAATCAGAAAACGTCTCCTGCATCAAGTATTCTATTTGACTACCATAAAGGGTCTATCATTAGAAGATGACACAGAATGGTAAGTTGCAGAGCATTTGCTTTGGGGGGGTCTGATCCAAATGTAATTGTTCAATGAGCTTTGAACAAGAAGTAAAAGGCTAGCAAATTTAGTGTTTGGGGATAAGTGAGGCCTATATTACTTGTTGGAACCACATTGAGTGGGTGGTAAAGGTGAGCAATTTGTTATTAACCTAGTGATAACTCATTGAATTTGGAACTGATTTGCAACCCCTTTTTAATCCAGTGACAATGCCAAACTATTTATGATTAGCATTTATATGGATCAGATTTTAAATGAGACCAGTAACCTGGCCATATAAATTACCCTTTCCTTAACCCTGAGGATTTCAGAATTAAATTATGCCATGATTTCTTTAATTCTAAAACACAAAGTGCATATTGTTATTCAGTAGTTAATGTTGATTTGAACTTTCTCTGGCCTTCTCTGACCATATTGAACTAAAGGGAAAACGCACATTTTTCCTCACCATAGTCTTTTCCTTTTTGTTTATACAAGTCTTATGCACATTCTTGTACATAACTATAGTTGCTTTAACCCTCAGCTCCCACTCTCCACGCCAATGCCGAGCCAGAATCATCAAGCGCTTTGGGATATTCTCCCGATGTGAAAGGCGCTGTATAAGTATAAATTGTATTGTATTGTGTCACCTCAGAAGTATCACTCTTGCTCTTTACAGCAACAACAACTTGCACTTATGTTGTGGCTTTCATTTAGGTTAACTTATCAAATAATATTTTAATCTATAAGTACAACCTACAATAATAATTCTCACATTTGATATAGTGCCTTATCATGGCATCAAAATGCTTTACAGATTTTACCCAAAGTGATTGTGTATTTGCAGGCAAACACAGCAGCCAATTTGCACACAAAGGTACAGCAAACAGCCATAAAGTGAATGACCCATTTTATCTGGGGGATTATTGGCCAGGACAGTGGGAGAAACTCTATATTCTGTTTTCAAATGGTATCATGGGACTTTTAATCTTCCCTTGAACAGGTAGATGGAATTCAGTTTAATGTTTCTTCTGAAGGATGGCATCTCCAGTAATACAGCACTCAGAGTCTGACCCAGAGGCAAGAGTACTACTAAGTGATTCAGGCTGACATACATTTTCAAGCAATGAAAAACAGCTTTACTGCTCAGGGGCATATCTCAATCTGAGCTAGGCCAGTACAGGATGAATAAATCTAGAGATATTGTATTTATCAGTTGCAAATAGCAAAAGAGGAATTATTCAATCTTTTATATAGAAGTGTTGATGGTGAAACCTTATGGGATACAATATATATTTTGGGACATGACATGTGCCTGCCAAGATGGTGGAAGGTAAACTGGATGACATTGGTCTTCTTTCTCCTAGAATATTCTTATGTTCTTATGTAACCTAGTTTTTTGAAACGCAGTTAAGTACATTGATAAAACTGCATGGCTTATGTTAACCTCTGGGATTTGCTTGCTCACCTTACTGCGCAGTAGTCCTCCGGTTGGACGCTCAGGAGTGCTGTGTTCTGACGACGGCTTGGCCTTCTCTTTGTTGTTGTTTGAATCATTATCTTTAATTATATCATACTGTCTACAGAAGAGAGCTATGACTGCTGAAATATACAAAGAGAGAACACCTTCAGTGATTTGTGCCAACAAAGCATTTGTAAACCAAACATTTGTAAGCCAACAGGAATATGAATAATCATCATCATCTGTGTCTGGAATACAATGCCTATAACATCAAACTGTCTCAAAGGACTTCACAGGTAATTGTTTTTCAGTGTAGTGACTGTATTTATAACTAAATGTAGCAGCCAATTTCTGCACAGTAATGTCCTACAAACAACAAATTGCATATATCTAGTGCCTTTCAGATCGGGATGACGTCCCAAGGCAAACAGCCAGGAGGTAAATGATTAACATAATCCCACTTTCAATGAAATCAATAAAGTTTATAAATTTAATTTAGAATTTTTAAAATGGTCTAATGATCATCTGGTGACATTGGATCCATATTAATATCTTTCGATAGGCATGAATATGTCAACTAGAACCAAATACGTTTACCGACCAAAAAAGTCCATTTGGCCCATCACGTCTGTGCTGGCTCTTTGAATGGACAATCCATTCAGTCCCATTTACCTCCCTTTTTCCCATACCCCTACAAATTATTCCTTATTAGATGTCTATCTAATTCCTCCTTTACAAGATCACAGATTGTTTTGAATGAAGAAGATCCTTCATCCCATCCAATCTCAGCAAGAACACCCACTCTACTGTTCCCCCATTACAGCATCAAGCTGCTTTTTTATAAGCCAAGTAACCCGGCCTCAACCATCTTTCTTGGCAACCTGTTCCAGTCATTGATTACGTTCTGAGTAAAGAAAAATGTCTGGGTATCTATCCTGAAATTGCCCTTAAACCTATGGCGTCTTGTTCTACTGTGTTGGTGCATCCTAAAGGATTGATCTGAGTTTATTTTTTCAATCCTATTTACAATGTTATACACCTCTCTCCTTTGAGTCACCTTCTCTCAACACAGAAGAGCCCCAGCTTGTCTAATCAGAGCTCTGAGATGCTACTTTGCATGAAGGGCATAACCAGTGTCTGGCTAGTGGGGCCTCAGCTCCCCCCAAATCCAACTTTTTCTCCAGTTTTGGCTGATAGGATGTTGAAGCCATAGCGGGGCGCTGCTCTCTGTGATGTGTAACGGAACGTCAATGAGTGGGAGTTGGATCCATTGCTGGGACACACACACACATATACAAACAGATAGTCACACACTCCACAGTCTTCAGGGAAAATGTCAGGATGTATGAGGAGTTTGCGTCTCAGCTCAGCCTTCCCCACCCACCAAAGAGAATATTTTCACCCGCTGCTTATGGTGAAGGGTAATGCAAGTTGTTGTAATGGTTGCTTATGACTCGCACTGGCACCAAAGGGCACAGTAACACATTCCCTTTCACCGAATGATCTAGCTTTGTATAGTGGAGATTGTATGGTGGAGATACTTGAAGATAGGCTTTAATTACGATGCCCCTCAGCCCTGCTCTCTACCAATACTTTCTCACTGATTGGCAAATTGGAATTGGTCAGTGACTTCTCTAAACAAAACAGCCAATGAAGGATCCTGATCTCAGTTACACAAATCTTCAACATGGACCATGTTTCCAATTAGACTATGTTAGCCCATAGACATTGGTGCTTTTACTGAATGAGGATTTCTAAAAGTAGTTACACAACAAGAAAAAGATTAAACAATTGAAATTTTGCAGGCAGGAGAGGTGACAGGTTATTAAATAATAATCCTTTATTCTATTTCACAGGATTTACTGTGAAATAGAATGACTGTGAATTTTAGGCGAATGTGGGAGTCCAATTTTGCACAGCAGTATCCCACAAAAGGCAAGGAAGTGAATGACCAATTTTACTTAGGAGATTGTTGACCAGGACACTGGGAGAAACTCCCTTCTCTTTTCGTATGGTTGCATGGGATCTTTAATAGCCACTTGAGCAGGCAGATTAGACCTCGGTTTAACGTCTCATCCAAAGGATTGATGAGATTATCAGCATCAAACACTTGCAAAAATCCTGCTACTACGATCACACATTAAATATTGGCTTGCAAGGTTTTCAGGGGCTAAATGGAAAGAATCACTGCTTCCAGTGAGTTTCTGTGAGGTTCAGGAAAGGATGACTAGCATTGAAAGGTATCTTTAACGTCCACTTGTACAGCAGACAGGATTTTGGTTTAATGTCTCATTTGAAGGATGGCACCTCTGTCAACGCAACACACCCTCAGTGCTTCATTGAAGTGTCAACTTAGACAATGTCCTGATGTGGGGCTTCAACCCATAACCTTCTAACTCGGAGGCAAGAGTGCTACCAACTGACCCCGGTTGACACATAGGAGGGAATATGACGTTTTTAAAATTACAAATTATCTTCATAGGGTAAAGATAGAAAGTATAATTTGCCCTGATTGACATGTTAGTAATTACAGAGAATAAATTGAAAATTATCAGGAGGAGAAAAAGGGAGGGTTGGAAGAATCTTTTTTACACAGAGGGTTGTAGTTTGTGCCTTACTACAAATGGCCGCTGATACTGGATCCATAGCAACATTTAAAAGATAAAAGAATAAATTTGCTAGGGAAATATTAATGGGAATGGGAATAAAACAGGGGAATAGGATTAGAGCAGACAGCTCCATTGGGGGAGGTAATATCAGCATGGGCACAGCAAGACGAATGGCTTCCTTCTGTGCTATAGACTCTCTTTGGTTCTAAATTACTAATTGAGTCATGGAATACAGAACTTTCAAATTATAACCTGGAGGGGGAATTCTTTTTTAAAAAGGATATGATTCTGCTGACGAACGGTGATAGCATCATACATTTTGAATTTATGTGCTAATTCATGGTCTGTCAAACAACTGTTTCTCAGCTATACCTCATCTAATGGAAACTGACAGAATGAAAGAAACAGCCATGTTACCTATCTGGCAGGAGTAAGAAAACAGCCTTAGGTCCTCTCACTCAATTTACAGGGACAGCTTCTACTGAAATCAAAGGGACCTTCTGGCAAGTTGTACCATGGCAGCCTTATTAAGTGTACTAAGTCGACACCTTTATCAATTTGTGGATCTGGAATGAGGTTGTACTGTACCTATTGCATTACTTGCTTTTTGCTCTGGGTTAAAACAGCTTGTTTCCAAGTGCAAAAACATTTGATTGTTAGGTGGGATGTTTGTTTAAAATCATTGGTTAAGATAAACAATTGGATTACAATCCTGTACATTCCACATCTGCCCCATGAGTTGTGGGCCCTTATACAGCCTCTCAGGATGATTAGGCAAAGGGGTGACTTTGTATAACAATTGGCAGCAAAAACACTGATCACTATCTCTTCCTTAGTCAAAGAACCCGAGCCTTGAAATTTCACTTGGACTTTGTCTAGAAATTTTAAATTACGCAGAATTGTACAAAATGCTCCAACTCAGTTTTAATTTGAAAGCTAGAACTGAGAACACCTAGCTTCCAAATTATTACCAGTTATGATTGCATTTGATATAGCACCTTATCACACTGTCAAAATATTTCAAAGTGCTTCACAGGTGTTACTGTAAAGTGGTGTGAATGCACATTTTTTAGTCAATTTGCATACAGCAATGTCCCACAAACAGCTATGAAGCAAATGATCAATTTTATTTGGGGAATTGTTATCCAGGATACCTAGCAAAACTCCCTTCACTTCTTGAATAGTGCCATGGGACCTTTAACATCAGCTGAAATGGCAGACAGGGCCTCAGCTTAAGGTCGTATCTGAAGGACAGTACCTCCACCAATACAGCAGTCCCCCAGTCCAGACTGGTGAGCTCAAAGTCAAGATATGGGGCTTGAACCCATAACCTTCTGACTCAGAGACAAGAGTGCTACCAACTAAGCCAACTGTATCTAGATTTCCTATATTTTTTTAGTATTTTCACAGTGCTCAGAATTTGGCAGATTATTAAAAAATTTTAAGCCAATTCTCTGAAAGTTTTTTTTAATAATTACAGGTAACTGAATTCAGCAATTTGCCAATTTCTAGACACTTTGAAATGCTAAGAAAATAGTAAATAAATCTAGATCTAGGGTGGAATTAATCCCTGTCATAACTTCTAACGTTATAATTTTGGTCCTCAATATATTTCACCATTCCTTTATTTTATGCTACTGTTATTTCTTTATTTTATGCTACCTTGCATTATTTATATTTCTGATATGCAAATTATGTGGAAGAAGATTTAACTGTCCAGAAGCACTGACATGAATGTAACATTTGTGAGAGAATTTACATTGTTTGGTAAAGTTGCCAAACATTGTGATGTGGACTTACAAAGGAATTTGTATACAAATATGTTATACAACATGTTCTATCTAACTTAACCAACCAGTGATATTTCATCTCTGATGATCAGGTAACCAGACAACCAAATATAGCACAAAGACACAAGAGAGGTGTAAAGAAATCCACTAGGCCCATTTGATTTCCTATTTGCAGAATCCCACTCTTCAATCTTCCAGTTACAGCATCAAGCTGATTCTTAAATGAATTCAAGGTCCTGGAACAGAACAGGTTGTATGCTGAATAGGTTACCAAGAAGGATGGCCTCAACCATCCTTCTTGGTAACCTATTCAGCATACAACCTGTTCTACGTACAGGCAATTGACAAGTTGTGAGGGTCACATAGGTGGGTGTAAAGTATGTGTTGTTGGCAAGTATTAGTGAATGGTGTGTTCCACATTATTAATGCGAACTATAAAAGGAAATGTGCTCACGAAGAAAGTACGATTCACTGCAACAACAACAATCTTTTTTCAGATAAACAAATGTCCTTCTTTCTGCTTCTCATCTCATTTCTTCATGATCATAAAAGCTTTGGTAGCGATAAAAACAACTGTTATCTAAGAGTCAGCTGAACAAAACCCATCGCGAGCACCAGAGCATACCTTTGTGAGAATGGATGACTCAGCCCTGCTGATTAAAATTAAGTATTGTGTATTGTTATTCAAAACATCTACTGACCAAGAAAAAAGATGAAAGGTACCATTTCTAGTACTAAAAA